AGCTGCACGCTACGATCGTCAGAATGACAAAATAAATGTGTTTATTTTTATTGTCTTTGCGGTTATTGTTATTGTTATTGCTATTGTTGATAATTCTTATGACAATTGCAATTAAATGAAGGCATCTAACCATAAATAAATAGTTCGGGGGGCGATTCGAAGCAAAATCGAAAACGTTCCGAACCGAGTACAGAGAACCGAACCGAATCGGCACCGGCGCCCAACTGCGATTTTCTCTGCGGGTGCTACTGGTGCGATTCTCCTCCAAACTATCTTCAAACATTCTGAGATACTTACTGTAACTGTGACTGTGACTACAACACTACGAAATGAGGCGGCCGACACAGTGACAGAGGTTTACACTCTGAGGTGGTGGTGGAGGTGCCGCTGGCGTTGGCGTTGCCGTTGGCGGTCTCGCTCCCATCAAAATGAATTTGTTTATTGGGGAGCTGCTGTTGTTGCCATTACGGTTATTGCTATTGTTCATGTACATATATATTTTGTATACCCAGTACACTCGTGTGACCCGAGAGCATATTCAGGCCCCCGGACAACAGATAAAAACGTATCCCGATTTCCTGCCTACAAATAATGCACTCAAAATCGAAAGCTGATTAAATGGGCAACGTAACCCATGGGTCGGTCGTATTGCCCGACCACTCTTGCTTGCATCTATTATACTCGTAATTGCCATTAAGCAAACAGCTAAGAATCAGTCGTATCGAACCGAATGCAATGCCGAACCGTACCGAACCGGCATCGGCGTCCAACTGGTGTGGGTGGTGGAACTTCATCGAACATCATGACGGGCGGGGGGGGGAACTGTGTCGACTGTGACTGTGACGTTTTGACTGTGGGAATCAGTGGCGTAGAATCGTAGAATCGTGAAATCGTAGAATCGGTGTAGTGGAGCAGGCGGAGCTTTGTGGGTGGGCATTGGGTGGTGGTGGAAGCAACAGCAGAATATTCGGTATTTGGCTGCATTTTTGTTGTTGCCATTGACGTTGTTAACGATTTCCAAATAGTGTGGCGGTAGTTGACCCCCCTAACACTCCCTCCCACCCTCCTCCCGCCCCTGCTGTACTTGATTTGTGTCGTCATTAGCAACGAAGTTCGCGGCAAAAACAAAATACAAAATAAATACAAAACGTTTGTTTGTTTTTTCGACTTTCGACTCGTTCCACTAGGTTTTGGCTTGCCACCCGCCCGCCTGCCCGCCTGCCCGCCCGCTCTCTAGTATCAGTGACAGAGAACTTCTGCACATTCTGATAAGCGGACTGTCCAAGTGCAAGCGTGGAGGTTGCGGGGGTGCGGGGGCGGCACACATTAAGTTATCTCAATTGTTTTTATTTTTTTGTGCGATGGGGAAATCGGTCAGCTAATGCCGCGGGGCTCATTACCATAAATTTTTGGGGCCGAAAGAGGAGCAAGGCAGAGATAGTAAAAAACAGATCGTACGGCTGGGCCAGATAACCGGGGGGGTCTCTCTCTCCCACACACACACACAGTAGAACCTGTTATGGCAAGGTCAGTTATCACCAATTTTAAATTTGATGTAACTAGAGAGCAATTTATTTTCCTTTGGAAATTTGGAGATTTCCAAAAATTGGCTTGAAATATTTTTGGCACTATCTAATACCCTGATCTACTTCCATTCCGTTCGTTTTCTTTTTTTTTAACCCATTCGACTGCCATTCCTTTTGCGGGTGTCAATCCACAGAACAGACTTTAATCCATTTTTCATATTTCGAGCGCGTGTGTGACATTTGATTGGATTGGTTCGCATATTTTTCATATTTATATTTGTTTTCTGTTATTTTTGACTTCCAATTCGATATATTCGGATATAGTATATGTATATGCAAGTCTTTGGCATGCGTGGCATACATATACATGCTTATGTACATATTTATGTATGTACATATGTGTATCTGCTATATCATTATAGATATAATTTCCACATATCGATGATATATGCACTACACGTTTGCTGTGCCTGTGCCTGTTGCTTTTGCTGTTGTTACGGACTAAATGCGTCAATTAAATATTAAAAAAAAAAAACAAAATTAATAAATAAATATCTATGTATGTATGTATGAGTGTATGTAGGTGCAGAGATACTTTCGGCTATGGATAGATACAAAGATACACACGCAGTGATACAGACACAGATGCATCTCTCTCTATATCACTCTTTCTATCTCCCTCTCTGTGTGACAGTTCTTTGAGAATTATAAATAAATTATGATTTTCAATGACACTATAAATCGCACTCACAGAAAAGATAGAATATATGTATGCCTAAATATTTATCGCTAATCGACGACGCGCTAAAAGATTTAAGTCCGATCCAAGGCACAGGCAAAAATAAAACAAAAAAATAATATCAAATTAAAAAAAAAAAGCAATTCCATGTCCTCCCCTAATCCCCTAAAGCCCATTAAAACCCATAAACTATCTATATGGGATCTGCTCGCATAAGATCTATATAATTTTTATATATGTATGTATTTATGAATTTTTTGCAAATAATTTATTTGCAATTTTTGTTTTAAAATTTTTACGAGCTTCTTTAATGACATTTCGCTGAATTTGGACTAAGAAATACAGATACTCGCTTGTACACATACATACATACATAAATATATGTATGTGTGTGCTAGGGGCATGCCCCAAGCCCCAGACTCTCCTACGGATAGCTGTCTGGCTTGTTACGTGCCTCATTAAGTATTTTTCGGTTTTTAATTGACAAAACAACCAGCCCGAATAAATATAGGAGACAAAATCAAATTTAATTTCATTTATTATAAATCTCAAATAATTTTCGACTTTTCTTTGAATTATGCCAGGGTCGAGAGCACGTAAGAGACTTATTTATTGAAGAATTTTAATAAGAAATTATAACACAATTCAGATCAGGAAATACTCAAGGATTTATGTATGCATCTTTGGAATTGATTCGGCACTATGCCATTTTGAAACAACAAAAATACGAAGAAAATCCATTCGAAAATACACCTTTGGAACGTTACCTGAAGGAGAGAAATCCTTCAGAAATATGGTTATGAATATACGAAAAATATACATATGTACATCAGAAATATTTTTGTGCCAATAAAATTTCAAAAGGTTTCTGTTTTTTTTTTTTGGTAAATGTCAGCCTAATTTTGGGCTAAGAATTAATTAAGACATCACATTCGAAATCGAAATCAACAATTGGATCATGGGACAGATATTCTGTGACCTTGACGGGGCCCCAACTTCTCTCTTCGATCGCGTTCACATTTGTCAATTTAATTTAATTTATGATTATTTTTTTCCTCATCTATACCCGCACATAGTAGATGGAACGCAACCTTTTCTCTGTTGTGTATTCCCCCCCATTCGCTTCGACTTGTTCAAATAATTTTGTTGTCATCTCGCATATTTATTAGCACCAGGCCGCCAAATGGGCCGCCTCAGCATCGGGGCCTGAGAGGCGTTCGTCGTTATTTATTTGCGCATACAATAAATTTCTTTAAAAAAAAAATACACACTAAATACCAGAAAAGTATGGAAGAAGAGTCGGTCAATAAATGAAGACGCGTGCAAAGGCAATTGAAGAACGTGTGGAGAGTGCTCCTCCTGCTCCACCTCCAGTCGAGCATTTCGACTGTGGCGATGGATGCCTGTTAAGCGGATTTAATTGTTGGCCAGCTGTTCACTGGAATTGGAATTGGAAACGGCAGATCTTTGCTTGCTTCACCTGTTACAGAGCACATACACAGAATATAGGACTCCGGTATACAGTCTTCTAGGAAATCGAAACTTTGTTCACTTTGGCAATCCTTTTTTCAGCGGCATTAATTTAAACCGGAGAGCATGCACCTAAATTCAGGTCCAACTCTTTGAAAGACACTGATCCGTATACCCCCTCTCAGGAATACGTAAACTCTTTCCGGTTGCTTTAACTCTTTGTGTCTCTGAGATCTAGGATTTTAAATGGACTTTGGATCAGAAATACATGTTCTCTCATTGGGTTCACCTCGGAAAACCGAAAATCGGGTATGCAACAGTTTTTTTATTTTTTTTTTGGGTGCTACTTTCATCCCGATTCCCATCCCACATCCTGGCAAGCGCCAAGCGGGTTAAACGGGTTCAAGCTGCCGACAGCCGAAAACTAACCGCAGGCGTCTCCCCATCCATCCCAATCTCCCTCCCAGCCCAGCCGCACGGATTTGCATGTTGGAGTGTGTGGTGTGTGGGTGTGTGGGTGTGTGGGTGTGTGTGTGCCCTTTTGGTTTTACCTACATTCGGGGATTCGGTGGCGTTATTTAATGACCAACACTCTTTGTTCCGCTCTAATCATGGCCTCTTTGTCCCACTCTAAGCATGGCCCCTGCTTTTTGTAACTGGCTTTTCCAAGGCGCGTAACGGTAACGACGGTAACGGGATCACACGGTGCGGTCCAGTCCGCGGTAAACGTACCGGTCCGCGAATAGCGGTAAACGTTTAACAGTTAACGATAAGCGGTCAGCAGTCAGCGGAATAACGAACTAAAACAAACAGAAAGCAACGCCAACGACGAGGATGAAGGATGATGACACCGCCGGCGACAATAACTAATGTTAGGGAGAGCGAGTGCGCGCGGGAGAGCGTGTCAGCCGCGTTTTTTCAATGTTTACCGTTGGGCTGCCGTGCGCCGCGTGCTTCGCCTGGAAGTGTTCCGGTGCTTTGGGTTCCGTTCCGTTATCCGCGCGCGCCACACGACGATTCGTCCTTGCCCGAAAATGTTCGAGCAGACATTGAAGCACTGAAGAAGGCTCACCGTTGCGGCGCAAATCTGAGCCAGTGCGCTCTCTTTGGCCCGCTCTTGGCTTGACCCGTACCGTTTAGCATGATACGCTTAAAATGAGTGTGATGCTTCTCTGGAATTTGGTACATGAGTGACACTCTCTGCCGGCTCCTATCTCCCCCACCAGAACCAACCGAGTGCAGAATGTGAGTCGAGTCGGATGGGATTGAGTGGGAAACTCGGTAACATATTTTATTGAGCGCAAACTCTCTTTCACTCTGGCAGGCACTCTCCATGCTATGGCATTCTATTTGTTGTTGCTGTTGGCTAAGTCGTACGGTTCGCCGTCTCCTCGAAGAACAGCTCGAGCAATTCGCTTTTGAGCAGCTGATCGCCGTCCAGCCGCTCGCTCCCGTTCCACAGCAAGACACTGGGTATGGAGGTGAGGGAGAACGGTGGCTTCCGGAAACTGTTGTTGTCGGAGCGATCCATCCAGGCATCCCGATTGCCCACGTCCACCACTAGGACAAGGGCGTCCCGAGTGTACTGCCGGAATGCCGTCATAATGCCTTCCTCAGCTAGCAAAAGGGACAAGGAACAACGATGAGATGAGGTAAAAGAGTAAGCAATGGAAATGTGCAGCTCTGCTTTCATACCCGTCACACAGTCCGGACACCAGCTGTTGCCCTTGCTGTCCTTCTCGCCGTAGAAATACAAATAGATGGGGCTCGTCCTGGCTTTGTGTACGTTGAGCAAGTTCTGCAGCTCCTGGTAGCCGCGCACCGGCACATATTCCGTTGTCATTGTGGTGTTCCTTGTGTATTCTGCCGCGTGATTGCAATGTACTGTTCAGGCGGGTGGCGCACCGGCTAATCTAAATGTGGCGATGCGATAGCGGATAAGTTTAATTACAAGTGGGATTGTTTTATGATTATTTTTAGTTGCTGGGGAAGGGGGGCGGCACTCTACCAACCGTGTGGCTGCAGATTTTTCGATCAAATATAACCGCCTGACCCTCAGAAATATACCGAAATATACCATATAATTTTCTGAATATACCGCAAAATATACCGAAGAAGAAAAGGACAGCCAGCTTTCTGTTATGAGTACGGACATTTGTGTACCCTATTTGCCATAACTCAGCATAAACAAAAGAAGCCAGCATTTTTAAACAATTAATTGAACTGAAGTGAAATTTGAGCCCCCGCCGCCAATTAACGGCGCAAATGAGACTGAGGAGAGCAGCAGCACAATCAAGCGATGCCAAAGATGCCGAAATCCAGCCATGTGAGACCCTTGAATTAAGACTTACTTCACACTGTTCACCCAATGGCCTGTTCGCTGCCCCCCCCCTCCCTACAGAACATCGTATGGAATCCGCCGCAAGTGAAGCAGCTCCTGACACTCTTTAAGCGGCACCGGAATCTCTACGATCCGACGGACCCTGAGTACAACCACAGGGGCCGGCGGTCCTTCGCCTTGGCTAGAATTCTCCTGGCCCTGCGCCCAGCGATGCCGCAGCTGTCCGAGGAAGATGTGCTAAACAAATTTGGCAGCATACGGCGGCGGTACTCGGCCCTGACCCAGCGTATCAACGAGCCGGGCCTGCAGCTGCCCTATTGGTACCAGCTCATGGAGTTCTTCAGGCCCCATCTGAGGAACGGCAGCCAAGCGGCGAGCGCGCACATAGCAACGGTCAGCGTGGCCAAGCGGCACAAACCCATCAAAGACGAGCATCTGGAGGCCCTGGACGCGATCCTCAGCCACACTGTGAGTGGCGGAAGGACTGCGGCTGCGGCTGCGGCTGGGGCTGCGGCTAGTGTTGGTGCTGGTCCTTCAGACGATCGATCGGCTTCCGACGATAGTAGCGAGGATGACGAGGCGGACGAGTCTGATGCGAGCAAACTGGACCCGCATCACGGCCGCTCGCCAGCGCAGGCTATTCTGGACACGGCCACATCCATGCTGGGACGTTTGGCCGAACGCGTCACCTACACGCCCGACGTGGAGGCCTTTGGCGAAATGCTGAAGGCCGAGATGCAGTCCCTACAGCCCCACAGCCGTCGCCAGCTGCGCAACAAGCTCATGGCGGTGATCATCGACGAGGGGAAAAGCTCAGAATACTTGTAGCACGCTCACATGGCGTTGCAATATACTCGTAAATGTTTTTAGTTTAGTTTTAGACGTCAGTTAATTTGAGAAATGAAAAAAAAATGCAACTGTTCGCTTTTCGCTTGTGTCTCTTGGGCTCGCCTCTCGCTTTCGTCTCTTGGTTATCGCTGAATGGAACATTTCTGCTGGCTCAGGCCTCGCCCTGACCCAAAATGGCAGCGTCCAAACTTGAACTTCATTGGTGCTGTAGCAGCAAGGTTGCCCTGGGTGGCGAGAGCCAACAAACCGAACAAAGAAAACTGCAACTTCAGGTGAAAAATCGTTTATAAAAAGCGCGTACGGATTTGGTAACGCAATTAGTAGATCTGATCTGATCTGATCAAGATGAAGATGGGTAAGTTGCGACGGCCCGGGGGCACTTTACTCCGCATGCACCTGCTCACAGACTGATCCGTTCCCAGCCTGCCACAAGATGTCCTTCTATACGATGCTGCTGCCACTGCTGCTCATTCTGCTGGATGTGCACTTGGAGGCCTCCAAGATAGCCTACAAGAAGCCGCTCTACGGCAAGGGCAACTACATTAAGGACAAGCGCATGAGGAGCAAGCCAGTGACAATAATCCCTGCCACAACCGCAACCCCAACCACTGAGGCAGCTTGGCCAGCTGCCGTGGAGTTCATTATTGTGACCACAGCGCGGCCAGAGTTCAACAATAATACGACAGAAGCTAGCCCCAGTCACATCGCCAACGGCAGCACCACGGAAGCCTTTAGCACCAGCAGCCAAGCAACAGCGCCCGAAACTCCAGCCACAACAACGACAGCGACGACGACAGCAGCCAACAGCTTGGACAATACATTGCCATTGCCACCGACGCCAGCACCGGCAGCAGCAGCAGCTGCAGCTACCAACCTGGACAACCACCCAGTGCCGTGCACCTGCGGCGTGTTCCTCTCCTCGCAGATGCAGCACGGACTGCAGGAGGCGCCGCTAATCCATCAGGAGCTGGATCGCATGTTCGCGTGCAATGCGATTGGCCGGAAGCAGTGCCAAACCAAATGCCTGGAAGCGGTAAGACAAAATCAGCACAGAACATTCAAGTCGAAACCAACCCAATCACATCTCACTCAGATCGTCCAGCACCTGCCCAACTCGGCGAACATTGTGTGCTCTGCGCTCGGCCATGACTGCCACAAGGAGCGGGCCTACTTGTTCATCAAGAACTGCCACAATCAGTGGGTTAACACCAATCTGCAGGCGGGCAGGGAGTACTGCTGCAAGGCAGGCGTGCCCTATCGGTGTCCATTGTTGGGCTAATTGCTTTGATTCCCCCCCCATCTGTTGTGGGCTCAATAAATGCTTTGATATATTAGAAAGTATCTGGCTGACTGGCTGACTGGGGGTTAGTTAAACCATAGCTCCTGGTATGATCCGAGTGTCGGGTCCCTCGAGTACGTACTGTAATACGGAATTAATGCTGTCGCACAGGTTGTGGGTTGCCTCTGAAAGATGCCTCCGACCCGATATGCAACAGCTCCAGGCTCCAAAGTGCCCCCAGGCTCCAGTAAAGCCTGCAGAAGCCACAAGAACGCCTCTCTCGTGTGGGTCATAGGGAATTTGGTATTTTGGTATTTTGTTGGTACTAGCAGTGTGACCATGCCAGCGCTCGCACAGCTGACAGCAAACACAAACAATTAATTAAGTTTTCGTCGGTCGGGGCATTAAATCAAGGAATTGTTTCTACGAAAATACTGGCAGGTGAGTGGCAGACGGGGAAACCGTATCTACGCTGTATGTGTATAAACATTCACACTTTGCAGAAGCTGTTTTTAGGTAAAATGGTGTGCCTGCCGTGCTTTATCATTCCACTGTTGCTCTACATTTGGCACAAATTCGTGCAGCCCGTTCTGCTGCGCTACTGGAATCCGTGGGAGAAGAAGGACGCCCAGGGGAATGTGATCAAGGCGGGGCCGGAGTTCCCGTTCGAGTGCAAGGGCGGCGTCTGCCCGTATGTGAAGAAGCCAAACGCTGACACAAACGACACGGAAACCACATCATCTGAGACAGCCACAGGGTCAGACGGCCAGGAGACTACAACTACAACTACAACAACAACCACCACGACAACAACCACTTCGTCATCGTCTGGGCCAGCCACTGAGCCAAGCTTGGAGGAAACAAAGAAGTTAATTTAGTCCAAATTTCATGTGTTTTTTTCTTGTCGCTTCTACAATAAGTTCTGACACAACGCACACAGTCACACACACACACACACACACCCATGGGTGCCGCCCCGCGCTGTGTGAGTGGTGGGCTGGGGTACACGTTATCTAAAGAGCAGCAAAACAATTACGCTTAAAAACGAATGTTAACTTTATTGTAATTACACATTGCAATCACCCAAACTGAGTCTGAGTTGTTTCTGGAGTGGGTGGTGGGGTCCAGGACAGGTTCGGAGGTTGTCCGCGCTTGCAGCTGTATCCTGCTATATTTATTTTCTTTAATTCTTTATAATTGTCAGACTAATAATGGAAATTTATTGCTTCACAGATGCGTCTCCTCGCTGGCTAATAGTGGGCGGGGGCCCAACCAAAGAAAAATTTTCCACTGGCGAAATAATCGCCAGGATTTCAAATTATTATCTCTCTTACACAGGGTATCCAAATGGCAGAAAACAAAAATCGAATCGAATTGTTTTTAAAATAATTATTTAATATTTATTATTTATGTCAAAAAAAGTTGCATTTCTGTTTGTTGTTTTGCCGTTTAAGTTAGGAAAACAAATAATTTTACAATTTACACATTAAAAACTTAACTTACACAAAAATATAGCGTTATAGCGATGAAAGAAGAATCATTAAAACTCAAATAAAAAATTGATGAAAATCGAACAAGAAAAATCGTTGTGTTTTTGTTGTTGTTGTTGTTTAGATTTAGTTTTTGTTTCAGTTTTAGTGTCTAAATTCCCCTTTTGCATATTTTTTGAAAATATCTAACCATCAACTTTGATTTTTGGGGTGGGGTGTGTGTGTCGGTGTGGGAAGGGGAGGCTTGGGGTCGGGCTTATATATATAGAAAACTTGGCTGGTTAAGGTCTTTTCTTTTCTTTTCTTTTCTTAACATATCATATCTTTTTCATTCCTATTCGTTCTTGTCTTTTATGTTTGTCTTTTTATTGTGATTTTTGTTTTTGTTTTCGTTTTGTCTTTTTATGGTGATTTTGTGGAATTATTTGTTGCAAATCTCTTGCCGTCATTTGTTTCTCTGTCCAACTTAATTCAAACAGTTATGAGAATCTTTTTACAGTTTAGCTTAGTTAATATGTAATAATACATAATAATCATATTCATACAAATAATAATAATAATAATAATAAAAAAAAACGTCGTGTAAAAAAAAAATGGGTTTTGTTGTTTGATGGTAGTTTATAGCTAACAATTTTGTTTATATAAGCACTTCAGTTTGGAAACATATAGAGAATGCCGAAATATACATACACATACACATACATATGTGCAAATATGTATATGGTGTATGTATGTGTATCGGATAGGCGATCGTTAATTATATAATTCGATAAAAACTTAATGGCTAAACGTAGCCTAGACTTAGCCCTAGTGATATAATGTATGTATATATCCGTATGTGTGTGTGTATGTTTGTGGGCATAGGGAAGGGAGAGGAGTGTTGGGGGCACTTATATCTTATAGCTATATATATCTGAACAGAATCGAATGCCAATTACACTTTTTGTTCAGAATTTTCGCTAGTTTAAGGTTTTCGGTTTCTGTCTTTCTTTTCGTTTTGTTTTCTTTTGTTTTGTTTTATTTTTTTTTTAAGTTTTTGTTTTTGTTTTGTTTGTTTGTTTTGTTACTGGAAGCGCGACGACGATGACGTTACGACAAATCAAATGCGCCACAAAAACGACCTCTTAGTCTACATAGTATGTAGCCTAGCTGGGTAAAAGTTATCTACATATGTAATTTGTATATATATATATGGGTAGATATGTGTACACATATATAAATTTATATATGCGATCTAGATCATCCGATTTCAACGCGCACTGTACAACAATCATTAAAAATTAATTTAAATTATTACAAATTATTACGTTCCCATCTCTCTCTCTCTCTCTCTCTCTTTCTCTGTGTCGCCTTTTGTTATGTATTATTACTATTAAAACTTAAACCCTAAACAGACACTAAAAAAAAGAGCGCTTGCCAAAAAAAAAAAAATTATTAGCTTTTTTTTTAATGTATAGATCTAGATATAGAACGCAGTCCCCACAGGTGACTCTTTAAGAGTCGCATGCACCACCGTTCGGTTCGTCGTTCCAGCTGTGTGTGTGTGTGTGTGTGTGTGTGTGTGCAGATCCGCTGTTAGGCGGCATTCAGGCAGTCGTCCGTCAGCGGTCAAATGTAGATGGCCTCGGATCCCTTGTTGGCCTGATGGCCACCCGAGATATACAGATTGTTGGCCGCCGGCGATTGCACGCCCTCGGACCAATCCGAATTCGAACGGGGCGACGATGACGACCAGTGTCCGGGCGATTCTGGCGAGGGTGTGGGATAGCTGTCCAATGTCTGCGCGAGATGCTGCGGCGTGTGTCCGCCCGAATGCTGACTGGGCGGCGTTAGGTACTGATAGAAGGCCTGATTGTGCTGCGATGACGGTGATAGCATGTTGGTCGATGGCGATGATCCGGACATTAAACTTTGTATCGAAGGCGGATTCATTTGACCCGAGTGAAATGAGTCTGTTACAAATGGCAATGGAAATGGTAAGATTATTTGCATTTCTTTGTTTTATTGCGTTGATGTCTTGACACTTACCCGGAGATCCACAAAATCCATTCAAGTCCAAACCTGCTGAACCGAATTCCAGGCCTCCAATCTGCTGCTGCTGCTGCTGTTGCTGCTGTTGTTGCTGCTGTTGCTGCTGCTGCTGCTGTTGCTGCTGCTGCTGCTGATGTTGCTGCTGTTGCTGCTGCTGTTGCTGCTGTTGCTGTTGCTGCTGCTGCTGCTGTTGCTGCTGCTGTGGGGATAGCGTCTGCATTATTGCACTGCCCTTGGATGATTGGGGCGGGGCCAGCATAATGCCCATATCGCTGCCCGTGGGCGAGATGATGCCCAGACTAACTGGTGAGCTCTGTGGCCCAACCTGGCCACCGCCCAGCAAGCTGTTCAGATTGCTGCCACCGAACTGCTTCTGCTGTGTGGCATGCCGCATCGCCTGTATGTGCGTCGGTGATGTGGGCAAACTAGGACGTGATTTTGCTGGCGATGGCGAGCCTACAGCAGGGGAGAGAGAGAGAGAAGAACTGCGATTAGCAAATGGCAAGCCAGCATCCAAATATATATTGAAGAACTCACCCAGATAGGCGTGTGGCGACAGGGCCAGACTGCTCTGCACCGAATGCGGCGGCGACTGATTCGAATAGGGCGGACTGAGTCCCTGCTCATGGCTGCTGCTGCTGCCGGCACCCGTCAGGCCACCGACGAGTCCACCGCACATGCCATTCCCATTGCGATTGCCGCCGATGCCGATGCTGCCACCCCCATTGCCATTCATGCCGTGTCCCTGGCCATTCAGCAGCTCCTGCTGAAATGGCGAGCCCATCGAGTAGCCATAGTTATCCAGCTTGATCATGTCCAGGCCGTTGCCCGGTGGCAGTGATTGCAGCGATTGCGCATTCTGTAAGCCCAAAACAATTCCAAATTAGATCCTGCCAAGGAATTGGGGAGGGGAGGGGGAGGGGAGGGGGGGAGGGTGCCTCCTGGGCGACTCACCTTGATGCAATCCTCATAGCTCGGCGGCTGTTTGGCCCCATTGGGTCCGCTGGGCTGTGGCGCGGCCATGGCGTTCGAGTACATTGAATTCGTGTCGTAGGGGCTGGGCAGGTTGCCGTTCATGCCGTTCACACCCAGCGGCGAGGAGGCATCCAGCTCCGAGGCCATCACGGCCCCTGCCGCCGACAGCAGCGAGGCGGTTGTGGCTGCTGGCGGTTGGTTTGGTGCCCCCGCACCTGCACCTGCACCCGCACCCGCACCCACACTCGCACCCGTTCCCGTGCCCGTCGTTGATCCACTCATCAGCTGTACGGGATTGAGGCTCGTCCCCCCGTTCATGGCCCCCTTTTTTGAGGCCGCATTTGTCTTTTTTGAGCTCGCCTTCCGCCTGAGACTGCCGGCAGCGTCGAGGCCATTGTCGGGACTGCTGCCCTCGATCAGTTTTGCCTTCTTGGCGGCCTTCTGTTTGGCCGTTTGGTTGCTCTGCTTGCCAGCGCCATGGCCGGCGCCATTGCCCGCAGCGCCAGCGGATATCACCGTCGGCTGTGTGATCAGCTGCGGCTGTTGGCCCGGCGGCGGTGAGCCGATCATCGCCTGCGGCGTCATGCTGAGCATTTGCGGTGACCTGGGCACATGCTCGTCCAGCAGCCGGACAATGTCGTGGTGCAGACGCTCGCTGGCCACGTCACGGGGCAGTCGGTCCATGTGGTCGGTGATCTCGCGATTGGCAAAGTTATCCAGGAGGGCCTTGCACGCCTCGTAGCTGCCCTCGCGGGCGGCCAGGAACAGCGGCGTCTCGTCCTTGTCGTCCTGGGCATCGCGATTGGCATGGTGCATCAGCAGAATGTTCACCGCCTCCGTATTGTTGACGGCAGCGGCCCAATGGAGCGCCGTCTTGCCCGAATTGTCCGCAGCATTGATGTCCGCATCGGCGGTGATCAGATCCTCGACCATGCCCTCGATGGCAAGACGGGCGGCGAGTATCAGGGGCGTGGTGCCGTCATGCATGCGCGCATTCAGATTGGTGGCCCTGTTCCGGAGCAGTATCTGAAAGACGCCCATGGCATCGGCCGCGACAGCGGCATGCAGTGGCGTCCGGCCCGTATTGTCCTGACAGTTGGCATCGGCGCCGGCATCGAGCAGTCGCTTGGCGGCATCCGCCCGGGCATATCGTGCGGCCAGATGCAGCGACGTCTCGCCCGTCTTGTCCATGGTGGCGTCCAGCTGGGCGCCCTGGGCCAGCAGATCGGATATCACCTGAGCGGTGCTGTCATCGTTATTCTCAATATCCTCGCCGCTGTCCAGGCCGCCGCCGCGCACCGCCACAATCATGAGCGGTGTGAGGCCGCAGGGGCCGCGAGCATCCACATCGTGCTTGCCGCCATCCTGATGGGCGGGCGGCGTCATAATCGCCCGCACATCGGCCACATCCAGATGGGCCTGCGACCAGACCCTCTGGTCGGCCTCCTCGTAATCGCTGACCATCGTATGATCGCTGGCATAGCCCCCATTGTTGCCCAGACCGACGACGGAGACGGGATCGCTGCGCTGCCGCTTGGGCAGCGGCATATCGGACTCATCGTCCGACCAGTGGCCGCCCGGCTGGCCGACGCCCTGTGACTGCATGGCCACCTGTTTGTTGAGGTTGCGCATCTCCTGGCCATGGGGATCGCGACGACGCCGGGACATGACGGCCGCCGGTGCACGGAAGCCCTCCGGGAACCAGGTGACGCCATGGGCACGCTTTCGCTGTGTGCTGAGCACCATGCCAACGAAGGCAAGCGCAATGATCACCAGTATGATGCCCGCGATCACGTACTTGACATTCGCCGGCGGCTCGCCGCCGTCATCGTCCCCGGGACTCTGTACGCCGCGCACACTGTGTATGGGGAAGGCGTTGATCTGGTGCTTGGCCGCTGTGGCGGCGAGAAATTCGGCCGCCTCGGCCGCATGCTGAAAGCATTCGGTGCACTTGCGATTGTCGATCTCCAGGTAGATCTGGATGCCCGTCTTGTAGCCCTGCTGCGTGTACAGGATCTTGTTTTTGCGCCCAAATTCCGAGTCCTCGATCTCGGGCATGCGCACCGTGTCCTTCCAGTTGATGATCATGTCCCGGCCCAAGGAGTCCTTCTTCATGCGGACCGTGGTGCGCAGCATGTGGCTGATGTTGCGCAAAAATTGCGCCTGCAGCGACCGAAACTGTTCGACATCCATCAGCATGACAACGGACATGGCGCCCTCCGCCAGCTGCGGCGACTGTGTCTTATTCTCGCAATCCAGCCCGTCCCAGCTGCACTCGGCATTGTTGCAGTAGTAGTCGCAGACGCCATCGCCGTAGTGCTTCTGGCAGTAGGCGTCGTACAGGAAGTTGCAGCTCTTCAGCTTGCGCTCGCAGTCGTGGCCATCGAAGTGGCAGGCCACGTTGTTGCACTCGTCGTTGCATTTGCCGTTCTTGAAGACGGTCCAGCACTCGGGGCCGGTGCAATTGGCCCACGGATTGATGCCCAGCGAGCAGTCGTTGCCATCAAAGTTGCACGCATAGCTGTTGCATTCGGCATCACAGATGCCGTTGCCCTGCTTCTCCTGGCAGCCCCGCTGCTGGCACATGGCCCGCTGCTGTTCGAGATCGGCCTTATAGCGATCCAGCGAGCTGCTGGAGCTGCCGCCCCAGCCCGGATAGCTGGCATCGTAGACGTGACACCGCTTGCCCTTCCATCGGCTGGGACAGAGGCAGTCATAGTCGCCGAGCAGATTGTCGCAGGCGGCACCCTGCTGGCAGGGATTCGGCTGGCACTCGTCCAGTGTGTCCACCTCGCAGTGTTCGCCGGTGGTGCCGCGCGGGCACTCGCACCGATACCCAAAGCCGTCATCGTCCACCACACAGTTGCCGACGAGGCAGGGATTCGAGTCGCAGTCCTGGCCGCTCAGCTCACAGTTCTTGCCGTAGAAGCCATTGTTGCAGATGCAGTGGTGGCCGCTCTGCCGTATGTTGCAGTTGCCGCCATTCTGGCAGGGACTGTGCGCACAGAAGTCGACCTTGTGCTCGCAGTGGCGGCCCATGTGGCCCGGCCGGCAGTTGCAGTGATAGTTGTTCACCAGCTGGACACAGTCGAGGGTGCCGGCATTGGAGCACGGATTGCTGAGGCACTCGTTGATGTCGCCCTCGCAGCGGGCGCCCACAAAGCCGGGCGGACAGACGCACTCAAAGCCGCCGACGCGATCGATGCAGCTGCCATTGTTGTGACAGGCGCCGGGCACACAATCCTCCTGATTGATCTCACAAATGATGCCCAGTGTGCCGGGCGGACAGCTGCAGCTGAAGTCCTTCACCAGGTCGTGACAGGTGCCGCCATTCTGGCACGGATTCGGCGCACAATCATCGATATTCAGCTCGCAGTTCTGCCCCTGGAAGCCCTGCCTGCAGTTGCACTCGTAGGCCCCAATCAGATCCCGGCAGGTGCCGCCATTCTGGCAGGGCTGGGAGGCGCACTCGTCGATCTCCTGCTGGCAGTAGCTGCCCGCATAGCCCTGCGAGCAGTAGCACACGTGACTGTTGCCATGATCCTTGCAGGTGCCATTGTTGCACAGCTGCCGCAGACTCAAGCCCTTCCGGTCGGCGGCATCCTGGCAGGAGATGGTCTGCACGTCGCACAATTTGCCCGTCCAGCCGGAGGAGCACTTGCAGCTGAACTGATGCTTCATCTGGCTGCAGGTGGCACCGTTCTCGCACGGCGACTGGCCGCACCAGTCCACATAGTCGCCACACTGCTTGCCCGTGTAGCCGCTGGGACAGTGGCACGTGTACTCGTCCCGCTGCTCGTGGCATGTCGCACCGTTCAGGCAGGGCGACGAGTCGCATTTGTTCAGCTTGTACTGGCAGTTGGCGCCCGAGAAGCCCGACAGACAGCTGCAGTTGTAGCCGTTGATGCCGTCAATGCAACTGCCGCCGTTCAGGCAGGAGCTGTCCGTGCAATCCTCGTCGTTCGTCTGGCAATTGATGCCGCTGAAGCCCAGCGGACAGGTGCACGTGTAGCTGTTCACATACTGGCTGCACGTCGCCCCGTTCTGGCAGGGCTGGCTCAGGCACTCGTTGATGTCCGTCTCGCAGTGCTTGCCATCGAATCCGTCCACGCACAGGCAGCTGTAGTCCCCGATGCCGTCCAGGCAGGTGCCGCCGTTCTGGCACGGAAACGAGGCGCAGTCGTCCGTATTGATGGCACAGTCGCGTCCCTCGTAGCCCTTGGTGCAGAGGCACTTGTAGGAGCCGGGCACGTTCAGGCAGCTGGCACCGTTCCGGCAGGGGGAGCTGAGGGCGCACTCGTCAATGTCCTCGTCACAGTAGCGGCCCGTGTAGCCGAGCTTGCAGGTGCAGGCAAAGTCCAGGAAGTTGGAGCTGGGCGTACACTTGGCCTCGTTGCGGCACCGATTGCTGGCGCATGGGTCCAGCTTGCTCTCGCAGTCGCGACCGGTGAAGGGCACCCGGCAGACGCACTTGTAGCCGTTGACCTTGTCGATGCAGGTGCCGCCATTGCCGCACGGATTCGTCACACAGTCGTCGATGTTCGTCTCGCACTTCTGGCCGGTGTAGCCGGGCATGCACTGGCAGGCGAAGGCGTTCAGCTTGTCGTAGCAGGTGCCGCCGTGCTGGCACGGATTGCTGCTGCACTCGTCGATGTCCGTCTCGCAGCGCTTGCCGTTGTAGCCCGGCGGACAGTGGCAGATGTACTCGTTGATGCCGTCCTCGCAGCGAGCACCGTTCACGCACGGATTCGAGGCGCACTCGTCCACATCGCTCAAGCAGTGGGCGTCGTAGAAGCCCCGTGGGCACTCGCACTTGTAGCCATTCACCTGATCGATGCAGACGCCATTATTGGCGCACGGACTGCTGATGCACTCGTCCACATTCTTCTCGCAATGCTGGCCCGTGAAGCCGGGCACACACTGGCAGCTGTACGAGTTGATGCCGTCGATGCAGGTGGCGCCGTTGTTGCACGGATTGCTGTGGCACTCGTTCACATTGATCTCGCAGTTCTTGCCGCTCGTGCCCGGCTGACAGTGGCAGACGTAGCTGCCCACACGGTCCTGGCAATGCCCATCGAACTGGCACGGATTCGATTCGCACTCGTTGATCTGCTTCTGGCAGATGTAGCCCGTGTAGCCGGGATCGCAGAGGCACGTGAAGCTGTTGTTGCCATCGATGCACTTGCCCCGGTGGCACGGATTCGAGTCGCAGTCATTGATGTTGATCTCGCAGCTGGTGCCCGTGTAGCCCGGCGGACACTCGCAGCTGTAGCCAGCTATCGAGTCGTGGCAGATGCCCCGATTCCTGCACGGCTGCGACTGGCAGTCGTCGATATTGATCTGGCAGCGGGCGCCCGTGAAGCCCAACGCACAGCTGCACGTAAAGTCGTTGATCTTGTCGTGGCAGGTGCCGTCGTTCAGGCAGGGACTCGACTGGCACTCGTCAATGTCGATCTCGCACTGGGTGCCCGTGAAGCCCGGCATGCAGACGCACCGGAACGTGCCCGGATCGTCCAGGCAGCTGCCCTCGTTCTGGCACGGATGCGACTCGCACTCGTTGATGTTCGTCTCGCAGCGGGGACCCGTGAAGCCCTGCGAACAGTTGCACCGATAGCTGCCGGGCGTGTTCACGCAGATGCCGTTGTGTTCGCACGGCGAGCCCTGGTCACACTCGTCAATGTCCTCGGAGCAGTCGACGCCCTTGTAGCCGGTGGCGCAGGAGCACGCGTACGAGCCATTGATCGGCGATGTGTCACAGATGGCGTCCTCGTGGCAGGGATTCGAGGTGCACGCATCGTCCAGGTGGCACAGCAGCCCCGTCTTGCCCTTGGTGCACTGGCAGTAGAAGCTGCCGACGCCATCGATGCAGGTCGCACCGTAAAAGCAGGCCGCCTGCACACAGTCGTCGATGTTCTCGCTGCAGTCCGAGCCGGCCCATCCATTCACACAGATGCAACTGTACGATCCGTGGGTGTTTGTGCAGGTCGCTCCGTTCTGGCACACGGCCGGACGCAGGGCGCACTCGTCCACATCGTCCTCGCAGAAGCGGCCCGTGAAGTTCGGCGGACAGCTGCATCGGTAGTCGTTGATGCCGTCGATGCAGGTCGCCCCATTCTGGCACATGTTACCCGAGCAGTCATCGATATTCTGGTCGCAGTTCTTACCCTCGAAGCCTGTCCAAGCATGGAAATAGGGAGAGAAATCAGCAAACGTTAGTGATCGTCGTTATTCGATTTAAATCGATATTTTATACTTTATACTAGCAGAATTGGTTCATTCCTTTCTAGGCACAAATCACGTGTGATTAAACGAGAATGGAACTAGCTTTTGGAGCTTCAAATTACAGATCGATCAGGGCTCGGCACGGCCCTATCTAAGGGGTAACGCATTGCAAACCATGTGAGTGTGTGCGTGCGAACCACGGACACACTCGCGGTCAATATAATAAATATAACCATATTTCTTCAATTCGTTTTTGAATGGCCCTTTATATAATTTATGCCTACCCAAACCCTACTATTGATTGATTTAAGTAAAAGTACTTTTCATACATGTTTCTGCTTATTTTAGCTTTTGTCTAAATATTTCCAATTATAATTCATAAACTCATAAACTAAATTTCATAAACTAAATTTTGTTTTGGCTTGTTTTGCTTTTCCTTAGAAGGTTCTTATTCCATATCCCACCCATATCATATATCATTTTCATTTGATGCTAGAAATCTGCTCTGCGAAATCGGATTTAATTGTGCGAATGAACGGTCACACTGCCCAGCGTATGTGTTCTCTCGCCACCTCTCTCCGAATACTGCTCTGCCCACATGGCATATTAATAAGAAGGTAAGGCAGAGGCTGCATATGCACACGCTCTCTGCACTCGTGTGTGTGTGTGTGTCCAATGAAGTGCATAAACAGATTTATGGCAACGTCATAAAATGCTTCAATAAACGAAAACGTTTAAAGCAACAACAAAAAAGCAACAAAAGACGAGGCAATGGAAGAATACAACAGAAAAGGTGGTTGTCAGTGGCGAAGGAGCCGCACAAAGCGCAAAGGCCGCTTAAAAATATCGCCTTGTTGGAGGAATGCTCTGCAGCTGTGATGCACATGTTTTGTTCCAAGCAGCCAGCCAGCCCCAGAGACAGAGACAGACAGACAGACAGAGAGAGCCGGCTTGGCTTGGCTTGGCTTGCTCTCTCTCTCTCTCTCTCACTCTCTTGAAAGTTACCTGTGCTCTCGCCGCTCTCGTTCTCTCTCCCTCCTGTTTAGCCAGCGGCAATGTAGAAAACGGAACAACGAACGAAACAACAACGCTGCGCATGCGAAGCGAATGGGCAAACAAAATATAACGTAAAAAACAGAGACAGAGGAAAGGCAGCCGACGCCGCCGCCGCCGCTGCCGCTGCGCAGAGGCATTCATACATGTATGCTCTGTGTGTGAGTGTGTGTGTGTGTACAACACGTCTTTAGTTGTTCTTTCCCACGGTCTCATATCTGGCCAGCCCCAACCCGAAGCCAGCCCAGCCGCAGCCCGAAGCTTCGAACGCTGGCTGGAAGCCCGGTCAGCGCTATCTTGAATGCGCGCCAAGCTAAATGAGCGTCGGGCTACTCGCTCTAACCCATTCCACACCAAACCAAACCAAACCACACCACACTCTCTCTGCCTCCCTCTCTCGCAGACAGACCGAATGCTCGCTAAGGGAAACCGACTCTTTACACACCCTAGCCAATCGATTAAACATCGTTTCTATGGCAGCACTGTATATGAGCTTAAATTAAATTAAATTAATAAACTAATTCTAATAAGTAATGGAATTATTTTTAGTATATTTTTATATTTTGTCTCTTTTGCTGCCAAACATTTGATTGGAATCATAATGCCGCGCTTGTTTAAAGGGTATGTATAAAAATGTGCTTATGCTGCGCGCGCTTCGGCGGCTTGCTCTTGCTCTCCTCTCTCTCTCTGGCATGTGTACGTACGCCTGCTCTCTCTATCTCTTTCGCATGCTTGCCTGCTGCCCGCCCTCTCTGCCGCACCGCACCGAAGCAACCAAACTCGATCGAGTTTTGGGCTTCGTTCATTGCGCTTTACTTTGCTTTTGGTTTACTTTGTTTGGTGTGTGTGTGTGTGTTTGTGTTTGTTTCGAGGAATTAAATCGCACTTTATGTGTGATCTCTCTCTCTCTCTATCTCTTGTTCGCTTTGGCTCTCCTTCTTGCTGCTGCCTGCCTGGCCGCCTGCTCTTATTGCAATGGTTTTTTTTTTTTTTTTTTTTTTGGCTAAAATAAAGCTCTCTCTCTCGCCCACAAGCTTTGTTTTTAATGGTTTTACTTGCTTGGTCGGTTTTAAGTTGAGTTTACAAAAGGAAGGGCCCACAGCCAAGACACAAACATACAAACAAACATACACACATGCATGCATGTACATATGTATATGTATGTAGGAGGGAGAGAGACTACTGCAGCAACTTGTTGCCTGGATGCCCACGAAGAGAAGAGTGGCATTTTAAGTGTCTCGTCTCTCAGTAACTGCCCCTGCTGCAACTGTTGGTTTTTAAAAATAAACCAAGGCAGGCGGCGCATCACAATTCAGGATAGGGATGGGGCTAGGGCTACGGCTAGGGATAGGGATAGGCGGCAGAGAAAGAGTAAGAGCATAGCAACAACAAAAACATCTGCTGTTGCACACACACACACACACACAAACGTAAAGACACACATATGTTTCATATTCGTTTCGCTTTTTTCTTTCTTTCTTTCTTTCATTTTTCATAGCGTGTAAATAATAAAAAGTCACAGCAAAAGTCACCCAGTCACTTAGTGACCGCCGCACTTTGAACTCCCAACTCGGCAACATTCGGGATTGCAGATTGTAGATCATTATTACATATATGTACATACATATATCAAAATCCGTAATAGCAATCCGCATATGCTGTGTATCTGCTGTTTCTGTAGATCCAGCCAATGAATGTCAGAGGGAGCTGCAGATAACACAGATACAGTTGTTTGGGTGGGGGAAGGAGACTGCAAGTACAGCAGATGACAGCGGCAGGGTGGGGGCATAAGTTATAGACACCACTAAAAGTAGGGGAAGCATCTGTAGTAATATGTACAGGAAAAAGCTAGAGGCCAGAGAGGCCACAAATATGATGTCAAATTTCTGCCCTTCAATTCTGGTTCAGATTTGAAGGGCAGGCAAAAATATCAGCCTAAAGCTGTTAAGTCCAAGGCATCTCCTTTTTTCCATTTTAGTATGATAGTTGAATAGTGGAATTAATTTTGAAATTAACTAAATACATTCCAATTGTCAAGGACAGATTCCTTCTTCTGCATGGCAAGATCGCAGAGCGAATCGCAGACGATAAATAACTTCAAAACCCCCTTCCCATAGTCCGTTACTTTCTTTGTGCGTTCTGAAGTTATACTCTGATGCTATAGATATACACACTATAGATATACACAGCTAATATGTAGCCATTAGCTATAGCTACTAAACATACTTGGGGCACAATCAATCTGGATGCGGCTAGTAAAAATGCTTCGGCCTCTGAACCTTACTTTTATTTTTATTTTATATTTTTTTCTGTGCGGATTTTGTTTGGTCTCTGCAACTTGTTTCCCAGCCAGCCCACAGCCCACAGCCCACCCGCCCCCACCCAACTCGTGCCGCTGACTCTGTTTCTTCTTTCTTTATTTTGCATAATGAGTGCAACTCCCTCCGCCCCAACTCCATTGCCTCTGTCCCCCCGCCGCCATCCCACTCTATGTGCCCCATTGCGCCGTGATGTCCACAGGGCGCTTCGTGTCGTGTCGTTGTCTGTCTGTCGGTTTGGCTGTTGTAATTCGGTTGGGATTGCTCAACATTAGCCAGAAACAACAACAGCAAAGAGTGCAAAAACAGCCGCAAAAAGGCGTTATAACATTTCCCATCGTAATAAATATTTCAATTTTGGTCACACTTTCACACGATCCCAAACACTGATCCGATCCGTTTCGATCCAAACCAAACCGATCCCTGGCCCTGCCCTGCCCTGCCCCTGCTCTGCCCATGCCCTGTGGTTTGCGTTTTGTCTCATTAGAATTTTTGATTGGGCGCAATTAAAAGGCCAGACGACATACAGCAAAACGGGACAAGACCCCCAACCAGAGAGTGACAATTCCCAGTGGCTGGTCACACTGCTGTGCCTGCCGCACTGTGCCCCTTGGCTGTTGTTGCAACTGCTTGTTGGCTGGTTGGCTGGCTGGCTGGCTGGTTGCAGTTGCACCAGCACAAATAATGTCGTGTGCAATTCTCTTCAATTGAAATGAATTAATTGAAAATTGCACACAAACACACACACAGCACACACACTTGGATACACGGATGCTCGGATACTAATGGGTATAATGCAATGCGAGCAATTTACATGATGAATACAACAACAAAAATAACATTGAATGGGTGACAATTGACGACAGAAGAAGGTTGCTTTGCTGCAGATATGAACAATGTACAACATGGATTCTCTTTTTTTTTTTTTGCATCGAGAGGAGAAGCTATGGAAGAGCTCCCCCTTCAACAGAAAAATTGCATCCAAATTACTTTTGAACGCAGTTCCCGTTGCAGTTCTCCAATCCATAATAAATGGGGAGTACTACGCTTTCCCCTCCCTACATTCCATGCTTCCATGCAGCAAACAATCGCAAGTTTTTCAAATGAACTAAGAAAGAATTGAGCCAAATGCGCGACCCATCGCTGAGCTGAATGCTTGGACTCGACACGCACAAGCGAATGCTGCGCAAAGAGAATGCAGTGGAATGGTAAAAACGCTTCGCTGACAAGGATTTTGTTGTAGATTATATTATATTTGTACAATGACAAATGTTCTAGAATCGAGCGTTTGCCATGCAGATGAATATCCACACAGTTCCAGGATAATAGCAAAAAAAAAAAAACACTCAAGAGGTTCGAAAATTGCAATAGTCAATTCCATAGTCAAAAGAGGCTTCGGCTTCCACTCTTTGGGGTTTGGGGGGGGCGGCACGCTGGCTGCCTGCCACACTCTCTTCCCACAAATCAGTGGAATGAATGCTTAAGCACAGTTACGCCCTAAGGAGGTCATGCAACACAATCAGCGCATTAAGGAGCCGCCACAACGGGGCACTGGGGGCAGCCAGGCAGCCAGGCACAGGCAGAAAGAAGCAGATGAGGCCACGATCTTTTTTCGGGCTGCCTGCCTGCCTGCCTGTGCCTGCCTCGATGAAATTCGTAATGGGCAATGGCGGAGGAATGGAATGGATTGGATTGGAATGGTCTCCTCCTGTGTCTCTGGGATGTAAAAGTTGAACCAAACTGATGAATGATGCTCTGAGGCTCACGAGGTTCACGGGCCGCGGCGGCAGTGGTGGCTGACAAACGAGTTTGAACCTTTTGGCAACAGCAGCAGCAAGCAGCCAGTAGTCGACTTGCCGCGTGGGCGAATGTGGCAGCCACAGCAGCCGAGTCTCTCTCTGTCTCTCTGTCTCTCTGTTTTTGGCTCGTGGCTAGTCATGAGTCATGACGCGAGAACAGTTCTCATCGGAACTCACTGGAAAGAAGTCTCCAAGTCCAAGTGCTGAGAACTCATGGCCTCGGGGCTCTGGGCCAGCAATCGAACCCATTGTAATTTAAGCTTGGACTCGCGACTGCAATCAAGATTTGCATTTGGAATTGGTTGAGACAGCGATTGGCATTCCCGCTCCCTGCGAACCCCCTCAGACATTAACATTAACGCACTACAGAAATAATATCTATCGTATTTATTTTTGAACCTGGAACTAATCTGTAAATTATAGAAGATGGAGCACTCACCTGTGGTGCATTTGCAGTCGTAGGAGAGGCCATTCGAACGGCAATTGCCACCGTTCTGGCAGGGCGATGGATTGCAGGGCTTGTACTTCTCGTCGCAGTCCTTGCCCTTGTAGCCCGTGGGACACACGCAGCTGTGGAGGCAGAAAACAAAACAAAAAGAGTGATTAAATTTTAGGGTTTAACATTAAGAGCAATTAAATGTGTAGGTTAAGAGTGCAGCCAGGAATGGCAATGGGCATGGGCATGGGCATGGGCAGGGGGATGGGGTAATGGCAATGGAACTTCCGTTTGCAGTACTATCTGGATATCTGGATTTGGATTTGGATCTCTCATTCGAGTATCCCCCAATCGGACAGACAGAGAGAGCGAGGTTATTTGTGTGTGTGTGTGTGTGTGTGGCACTGCCACTGCCACAATTGCTTAGAGAGAGAGAGAGGAGTTCCTTAACCGGTTCTGGGACAACCCAAACCTCTTCCTCTCTCACTCACTCACAGCGAGACTCCAACACCAAACTCCAACTCCGACTGGAACTCTCTTTTATGGCCAGAGTTGTTTCTGTTTCTGTTTTTTTTTCTTCTTACTTTGATTTTGTACAACAATTTTTATGCCACTTCCACTGGCTGCCACTTCTTTGTTCTTTATTCTTAATGTGATTTAAACTTAATTTGTTTGTGGCATGTAAACCCAACTCCAACTCCAGCTACAGCACCAACCAACAACCAACCAACTCCCGAGTGCAATGAGATTCTTGAGAAATGTTTTTTTTTTTTTTTTCGTATTCGTTTTTGTTGTTTTGAGCCCGGAAAAACGAGTTTGGGGTTTGGGTTTCTTTTTCGGGCACCTTCTGTAGTGATGATGGTGGCACCTTAAAAGGCCAAAGACAACGACCATGTCTGGGGCCACGCCCCGCCCCGCCCCGCGCGCAGCACTAATTAAGACCATTAAAGAGCATTTAATTAAATTAAACAATTAAAAGAGGCACACAGCACAGCCATCAGCACAGCCACCAGCACAGGAGCCTGCCCAAAACTAGTCGAACATCGCGAATACCTCATCCCTGAAACAGAAAGAGAGAGAGAGAACTCTGTGGGGAACACAGAACAGAACCCCGAACCCCGAACTACTCCCCATAGGATTTTCGCGGGTAAATTACATTGAATTCGAAAATTACATTGAAAAATATCCAAAAACGGCAATAAAAATTTGCTGCATGCACTCAGAGAAACAAATAACTGAAATTTGATTTACCCATTTGCAACATTTGGGAAATGTAGAAGCAAAGTGTTTTCCCTAATACTTTTCTATTAATATGCAAATTTTTGATCTAAATATAGTTCATATTTAAATTTAATATATGTATGTATTTCCAATGAATTTAATATATTAAAATTCTTTTTAAATGTTTTTTATCTAGATTAAATATGGGACATTTAATTTTAAATGTGTTTTCCCTCATATTTTTTTAATATATTTATATAATATATTTTATATATGTATATTTAAATTAAATATATTGCCAATAAATTTAATATATTAAAATTCTTTTTAAATGTTTTATATCTAGATTAAATATGGGACATTTAATTTAATATAACTTTGTTTTTACTATGCCATTTTTCTCTGAGTGTACGCAAGTATTCAGAAATAATGATGGATATTTGATTGACATGTGAACACCCAGCAGCCGAATAGCCCAAGGGCTAATATGTCTCAGAGAGAGAGAGAGAGAGAGAGAAAACGATGATGATGATGGCTTGGAGCAGAAGATGGATTCCCTTTTTGTTTGTTTGTTTCTGTGTGTGGATGGATCATGAAACATATCTATGGATTACGAGATTTACCTTTGACCGACTCTGCCAAAAAAAAAAAAAACTGAATTATTCATGGACCAAAAATTACGCAAAAGCCCATTCAATTGGCAATTCCAATCGGCAATAGCCAAAAGTCAATAGCCATGAATATCATCGCATACCAAAATACCTTAATTATTCTCGTTTGTGTTCAACGTTTGTTTCCATTAATAAATAAACCACCGACTGACAGATGACAAATAAAATCGTTGTCAATTCGGGGGTTAGAAAGAAACAACCAAAATGAAACCTCATAAACTAAGCCATGACTAAGAAAGAGAATAAACCGCAGTATTTAGCATGGAAACATCATAAAAATCACAAATCGAATGGCCAGTTTATGCAAATTGGAACACAGACAGAAGAGACATTTAACAGTGGCAGCAGATCATTCCGGTAGTAGAGCACCAAGCAGCCAAGTATTAAAGTGGGCGAAAGCCTCAACCTCTCGGAGCTTACCTTCCCCATATAATTGCAATTTATTTCGCTCTGGAAATGCTTTGTACCCTTTTACACCTGACATTATGCTAATGCTGTGATGGAAATGTCTCCCCCAACAAATATCCCAAAAAACAAACAAACAGCAAACATGTGTTCACATCGCACTTTTTGATCCAAATTGGTTGTTTCTGTTTTTTTCTTTTTTTTTTTTTTTTAGTTTATTTAGTAGAGATATAACCCTACCCTGCCCCCTCTTGGGCCACTGTTGCTCTGATAATTTTTGTGTGTTTCAAATTAAAAATGTAAATGAAGCCGCCGAAATAAACTCACACAGAGAAAATAATTTAACATTTAAACAACCAGTTCCCGACACACACAAACACACACAAACACACACACACACACAACAAAAGATCGCCGGATATTTGTGATCTTTTGTGTGATTTATTTTCTAAAGGCAGGTCGGTCGCTCGGTCGCTCGATCGGTCGATTGGTCTCTTCGTTTTTTGTGTATTTTAATTAGAGTGGAAATTGGCGGGCAATTTGTTGTTGCCTAAACGAAACAAAATCAATAAACTATGCAAATCGTTTGGGCCAAAAGCCCCAACCCCACAGACAGTTTTTGAATGCGATTTTATAAGTTATTAGTTTTAAATTGCCATTAATTAAAGGAAGTCCAAGTCGAGGCAGCAAATGCAAATCAGAGAACTTCAGAGATAAAAAAACAAACAAAAAACAAAAATAATACAAAACAAAATCAGACGTGTCTGATCTTTTGTCGAACAAAGCAAACAATTTGCACTTGTCAATCGATTAATTGATGGCCAATCGCTGAGGCATTTCCGTTTGAAGACTCATCTAGGTGTCTCGCCTCTATTCCCCCCCACCCAAAAGGATCAATATCCCACACCTAGTAGAGCACTGCCACTGCTTGCACTTACTTGTAGGATCCATGTGTATTTTGACAGGTGCCGCCGTACTTGCACGGATTCGACTGGCACTCCTCGACATCCTCGGCGCAGGTGCGTCCCATGAAACCAGGCGGACAGGTGCAGGTGAAGCTACTGCTGCCGGCCAGAGCCGTACAGGTGGCACCATTGCGACAGGGCGAACTGGCGCACAGATTCTTCGTCTCGCAGTGTTCACCTGGAATATATTTGAAAGCCCATTTAGATATTAGATGGCTACTCCAGCCAGCCATCCGTATTTATGATGCTTACCCGTATAGCCATTGGCACAGGCGCACGTCGCCTCCTGGAGGGTCTTCAGCTGGCAGGTGCCGCCGTTGTAGCATCGATGACGATCGCAGGCATTCGGCACCGCAATCTCGCAGAGCGACTCGTTAAAGCCGAGCGGACACTTGCAGGAGAAGCCGGGCGAGATGCCGCCATTGCCAAAGGTCTTCTGGCAGGTGCCGCCATTCTGGCAACGGACCGTCGAGCACGGATTGCGGTATTCGCAGTAGTCGCCGACATAACGTGAATCGCAACTGCAAATTGGCAGATTTAGATTATTAGTTTTGATTAAAGCGTATGAGGATGGGGGCTGGGAAGGGGATATATATATATACATATATAGCTAGTTTATGGACTTGTCGACTTTACAGCGGCACTTTGGCAGATCTCCGCTGGCCGATAAAGCGGTGCCAGAGCGAGAGCGAGAGCCCCCGTCCAGCAAAGTGTTAAAGCTGACAAAGTAGCCTCATTTCCGCCGCCACAGCCTTGCTGCCTGTGGACCACTTTCACATGGCCTGAGAAGTTGCCACTGCTGCTGTTGCCACTGCTGCTGGGGCACATGGCCAGCCTCAAATGTGTTGCAAGCTAGTTCTAGATTTCCTGTACATATCCACTGCTCTGGCAATGCATTTATGAAGGATTTTCCTGTACTCCACTCAAATCTTAACATCTTTTTTTTTCCTATGGAATTTTTTTACCCTTCCCTTTCCCGATAACAACACACACAAAAAAATATTCCCTTCGATGCCTGAGAAAACGAGGCCAACAGCAAAAAACAAATCGGTTCAATAAGCTTCCCATAAACAATATTTTATACAAAAAAAAAACAGGCTACAAATTGGTGGAATAATGACAATGATGCGCCACCATATTCTCCATCGCTCTCTTGGTCTCTGCTGCTGTTGCACCGCTCCTCGCCACTGCACTCCACTCCTCTCATTCCGCAACTGCACCTCCACCTCCACTCCCCAACTTTTGTTCGACGACAACTTGCACATTGTTGCTGCTGCTTGCTGCTGCTGCTGCTTGTTGTTGTTGTTGTTGTTGTTGATTTTCCCTTGAGAAAACAATTTTTATGTACGGTAATTTGTGCGCGATCTTGATTGCATATTAAATTTTTCTTCTCCTCCCCCTTGCTCCACCTCTTGCTCGGCTCCATCAGCTTGTGCTTCTTCTTGGTGTTCCAGGGGTCTCTGGCAATGAGAAAATTACACGCATTGCTGGGGCGCTGTGCAACATCAGCAGAAGCAACAACAAAAACAACAACAACCAATGAATAATCATTAAGAGGCGGCTGGCTGCTGACCAGGCCAAAAGAGATGCTGCTAGCGAAGAGAGCGGAGAGGAGAGGGAGGGAGAAAGAAGACTGACTGCTGGACCAGGAGGAAAAACGGCTTTTCTTTTTTAGCGTTTGATTTTTCTTATATTTTTTGTTGTTGTTTTTGTTGTTTGTGCCCCCACCCCCTTCTACGCTTGTTGTCTGCTCCTTTCAGCTTCGTACTTCCCGTTACAAGTGTGTGAAAATGCTTTAGATTTCGATTTAGCATTAATTTGTAGCAATCGACAGAGAGAAAGACGAAGAGGCAGAGGAAGAGAGGATGAAGCAGCAGCAGCAGCAGCAGTGCCCTGCCTAACCACAAACTCGCTGCTTGTGCTTGTCGATTGTAATCGAAGACACAAGGAGGCGGAGGATTAGCAGAAGCAGCAGGAGGATCAGCTGCAGAGGGCAGGCTGAGATAAATAAAACGCCAAGCAGTAGCCGCAAAACAGTGGCAGTAATAGGAGTAGCAGCAACAATATTAATAGTAGCAGAACAGCAGCATAAGCAGTGGAAGTAGTTTTAGTAATTTTTAAATTTAAACAAAAAAATATGCCTAAAATAGGGTTGAAATATACAGGTTGGAAAGGGGGTGGTGGGGGCTACGAAGAAATGTTCTGTATGTAGTTTAAATTCGAATAGAGTTTAAAGCAGTGGCTGAACAGTAAGCAGCAGTAGATGGAAGCAGTGGCTGAACAGTAAGCAGCAGTAGATGGAAGCAGTGGCTGAACAGTAAGCAGCAGTAGATGGAAGCAGTGGCAGAGCAGAACAGCAAGCAGTAGGAAGTGAACGAAGCAAGCAGGAGCAGGAGCAGCAAGCAAGCAAGCAGCATCGGGAGTCTCATTTGCGTTTGTCAGGCGAATCTCAGATGCTGATAAGAGGACGGCGGGAGAGTGCCCAAAAAGGCGAAACGAAACGAAACACGAGCAAGCCTCCCCCTTACCCCTACCGCTATACCACTGCCTCATTCAAATGAGGTGTCAGGCTTTTTGCTGGCCAAGCATAGAAAGAGACAAAAGAGAGCGCGCGACACCGAGAGAGCGTACAAAAAAAATGCTGGCTAAACAACAGCACTAAAAAAAATTAATGTAATATAAATTATACACAGAAGGAGGCAAACACACACACACACACACACACACATAGAACACACACACACAGTTTGGGCTTTGAAATGGAGTTCGAAATGGAGCTGGAGTTGGTTGTTGGCTGTTGGCTGTCGGTAACTTGTTTTCTCAAGGGGAGCGGAGCTCGAGAGAGAGAAGGAAAAACGTGACTCGCATTGGCAAATAAAACCAAGGTAGTCGGTCCACAGGCAGGCAGGCAGGCAGGCAGGCCCCTTGTGTGTGTGTGTGTGTATGTGTGTGTGCATTATCTCGAAACCCTCGCCCCCTTGACAGCTCCACCCCACACTTCTCCAAGCATCCTAGCAATCGATCGAGAATGAGTCACAGCATCACGTGAGAGCAAATGGATAACTGCAACTCTGCAGGCAGAGAACGACCCGAGAACAGAAGCCGTTAGTTATCCACTCTAAGAGGCATCCAAGGCATCCAAGGCACAGGGGGGTAAATAAATCAAATTTCCCCATACCCTACCCTACACACACACACACACACACACACAGAACGGTGGAAATTCTCTCAAATTACTAGCAGAAAGCACACACCGAAATAAAACCGCAAAGAAATTAATATTTGCCATAATAAAACCACACAAGAAATCAATTCTGAGGGCGGCGAGAGTGGCTTTGGGGGGAGGCTGTGTCTGAGAATAAAAAAAGAAAAAAAGTGAAGAAATAATCTAATCACAGATCAGATCATAGTAGCAGATACTCTCGCACATAACCCGGTATCCATTACGTCGAATCTCATGAAACTCTTGCGGTCTGCAAAATTGTTCACAATCATAAAACTCGGCACACAAAAGTGTGAATAGTACAAAAATATATGTATCTATATATTTCTTCTCACGATCGATACGAATGGCTAACCGCATCAGCAGCCAGCCACAGGGCAGGGGGAATGGGCAGAGGAGGATAGATTATGTTTGAGAGAGCGTATGATTTAATGTCATCGGCCGATGATCATTCATCTTTTGGTCTCCATTTGGACTTATCTACGGCTTCCAGAGCCCCACCCGCCAGCAGCCAGCAGCAGCTCCTGTTTATCGGTGTGCTGTGGGGGGGGACTCGTCTTGTTTTCCTTATAGAGTATCTAATTTCTCTAGTGCAATTCACACGATTCCCAGACGGACACAGTGTACAGTGTATCTGTGTGTGTCTGTCTCTGCGTGTGTGTGTGTGTGTGTTTGTGTGTGTGTGTCTCTGGTCTCTGCAGCTGGCAAACGGTTTTCTGCTGAGCTTTGCACAATATCAAGATCGATCGATAGAAGAGGCAACAGCAGCAGTCAGCAGCCAGCAACAGTCAGCTGCAGCAGAGAGGTAGGTAGGTGGGTAGGGAGGGAGCAGAGGGAGGCGGCAGTCAGCATTAAATGTGCTTATCGCAGCACAAGCATCGCCAAGCAAACAAGAGAGTCACTACAGAGAGAGACAGAGAGAGAGCGAGAGAGAGAGAGAGCAACTAAGTCGCAATTAAAGGTTCGCGTTCGCCTTCGGTTTCGGTTCGGTTCGGTTTTGTCTACGATTCCGGAATCCGTTGACAAAAGCATCCAATTAAAGCATAATTTTTCTCGTTTACCCGCGCCTATCGACATATCGATCTTTCAGTATATATCCCCCCCCCACCCCCTCCCCACTCCTCAATCACATTACAATCAGATGTTTTGTTGCCTACAGTACTTCACTTTGCTTCACTTCACTTCACTCATTTCGCTTGCTAATTAGGCACAAAATACAAGAAAAAAAAAAAACATGATCCATTTGAAGAGCGGTTCAGCAGATCAGCAGATTTTTGTCTAATTAGTGCTGATTTCTTGCGAATCATTTTACGGAGAACTGATAAGCGCAGGATTCAGATAGAGAGAACAAAGCAGCAGACTGATCAGCAGAAGCTTGACCTTTGACTGGGGCAATCCCATGATCCCCCCCCCAATGAGCGATGATGTGTTTACGCTGCATCTTTACATACTTGTTGCATGATCTCTGATCTAGTGTTATCTTTGAGCGAATGATCATTCCCATCATGAGTAGAGCTTTCAGCTGCCAAACAGTTCTACTGCAGCCAAGGGGGGCGGGGGGCGACCAAGGAGAACAAAGGGGAACCAGAGAGCAGAGCCAGAGCACACTTCTCGCATTACATGAATTTTCGTTTAGTTTTTCACGTGAAAAACTACTCTTGGGCAGGTGCAACATGCAGAGACATTTCTTTTAGCTCCCTCCTTCTCTCTCTCTCTGTCTCTCTGTCTATCTCTGCTTCCTTTCACCCAGACATTTGTTATTTGTTTAGCTGGCGAGGAACACAGAACAATGGTCATGGAATGGACGATGTGCGTGACCCCGACTGACGCAGCCGCCTAACAAATTTTACACCCAAGAAATTTTCTTTCCGTTCGTTCCCCTATTACTATACTATACCATCCATCAGACGGCGGTCTATCCATCTATCCATCCATCCCATCCATACATTTTCAGCTGTTGTTTGTGGAGATTTAAGGTCTCTCTCTTTTTCGGTTCGGGTTTTGGGTTTTGAGTTTTGGGTTTAGGTTTTTGTTTGATTTGCTTTTGTCGTTTGTGGCCGGCCTCAGGTAAAAAGGCATATTTTATGCGTCTGGTTTTTGTTTTTGTTGTTGCTGTTGTTCCTTCTCTCTGACACTGGTCCGTCAAAATGGGTTTTACAGGTTCAGGTACAGAGAGATACAGATACACTCAGCAGCAGCAGCAGCAGCAGATACCAGATGCAGGGGGGCACAGAAAATACCTGTGCCCTTCCCCCCTCTCAATGCTTGTGCAATCTTCGCTATGAAACGATTTATCTA